ACATTAGCATCCCAAATGACTCAGTTCACCCTGGTCCTGGGGGTGGCATCCAGATGGAGAAGGAAATTATGAGGAGGACCTTGATGACTTAGATGGTAAGTGCCATGCTTGGCCTCATGGGCACCAAAGGGAACAGGCTGTGCATACCTGGGCTCTGAAATGTGAAAACTCCATTTGAAGACTTGATACAAGTTATGTTTAATAGGAAGGGTATTGTAGTTAGACCTTCTGGGAGATGCTGGGCAAATGACTGTACCTATCAGCTACTCAGTTCTCCAGTTTAGTAGATGATGGTGATAATGCTCCTCCTTCATAAATAAGATTGTGGTGAGGAATGAATGAATAGATATTTCCAAGGCACATAAAGCACACCTACTACACAGTAAGTGTTGCTCACGGTATTACTTCTCTTCTTTTCCTTGGAAAAGCTTTGCTGGCTAAACTGAGCTTTCTGTGTCCTGCTCAGAAGAAAACTGGAAAGACCTGCAGAGGTTCTGTGACCAGCTACCAGGGTGGACAGGGCAAGCGAAACTCCACCCACAGCACTGATACTCGCTTGAGAGTTACCAATCAGACCACATCTCTGTGGTCCAACCCTGCACCTATCACTATTTATCCCGTGAAGAACAGAAAACAGAGGCACCTTATCGAAAACCAAAACAAGACACTAGCTTAAGGATTTAGGAACTCAACATCATATTGCCATCACTTCTTTTTGAACAGACGAATCTCACAGGCTGTTCAATGGCTCACTCTCTCTTTCTCTGTATTTGCAAAAGGAGTGTCTCCATATTACTGTGTGCATTAGGAGCAACAAATGTTTTTACCACAGCCTGAGCTACACTTCATCCTCTTAAACTAGCATCTTGGGGCCCTTGCAAAGCCATTTTATAGATGTCTTCACTCATCCCTTATTTACAGTTCCATCCCGAGGGTATATTAGGGAGTCAAAATAAAGCATACTTAGGCATGAGTGAGAGACACAATGACAGACCAAAAGAGAAGACTGGGGCTTTATAATATTTAGATAATGATGAAACTTGACTTTGTTGTTGCAGGCTGCAGTAATTATATAGGATAATTTATTACTTGGGTTCTCCTTTGCTCAGTTTTGAATTTTAAGTCCTCTACTAGGTGGCAGTTTTGGCTTCCAGAATAATCAGCTGACATAGGAAGGAAGTATCAAACCGTGTTATGTGGTAAATAAAAAAATAATACTCAGCAACTTTAGGATCTCCAGGCTGGAAGCTTCCTTTAAACAAAGAATGTCAGGATATTTGCTGCCCCCTAACTGGTACCATGGAGAATAGCATATACTTTTAAGAAGCAGAGGAAGATTCAGATACAATTGCAATAGTTGGTGGCCTCATGGGTTGTCTTTGTGAAAGTGGCCACTTTCACTAACCTGAGTGGGGGGGGGGCTGTAAGGCAAAGCCGCCAGGTAGATTCACGTTTCACCTCTTTCCCTGAAGAAGGGGTCCTCCCAATTTCCAGAGGCTGCCTACGTGGAACCAGGGCAAAGGGTTCAGCAAATACAAATCATTAACAATGAGTGTCAATACCATGGCTGGGGGAGCTCTCAGAGGGCCACCTCGTGATACAGTCCCTTCCTCTATGAAAATTTCTGAGAGACTCAGAAAAATGAACGTGACCACCAGGGAAGGTGAATCCTACTGATTTCTGGACCGTTCTGACCTCTGCGTGATTTAGTCTTAGAGGACAGGAAGAAGAGAGACGCCCTCTTCTGGTATATCTGTACAGAAGAAACCCCACAAAGGTAGCAGCCAGGCCACCTTCTCTCTAATCTCTCTACTTCCAATCTCCAAACCACTGCTTTTTCAATGACACCCATCCTCCTTCTGAAAAAATAGCACAGTTTCTTTGTATAAAATATGAGATCTAGAGCTAAGCATAAAATGTAAATCACATGTGCTCATTCTTCCCACAAATAATAATAATCAAAATTTCAATGTATGTATAAAACAGATTTGCAATCAAACCATAATTTTACAAATTGATATTTTCACAGGTCATTATATGTTGACTATTTTTAATGGCCATTTTTTTATTGAAAGTATTAATTCCTGGAGACTAATCTCTGAAATACGTGTTTTTATTTTTAAATCAGTCTTTGTTTATTGTACATCAAAACTTCAAAATTTCCATAGTTTTGCAATGATACTTGAGTGGTTTTAATTATTTTTTAAAGATAAAAATCCTAAATGTTGAATTGTTCAATCTAAGCTTATGAACACATATAAGATCTTCATATATATTACCAAATTGCTCTCTGTAAATATTTTACATATTTTCAGTCCAGCTAAGAGATTCCTCCCCTATGTTTTAGCCTGAATATTATCATAGCTCCCTTCTCTTCCTTTCAGGCAAAATTTGAGATACACTTTGTTGTAATTTGGTTATTTAAATTATTACTGAGGTTTTCTACCATCCATTCAGATCAACCTTCTTTGGAGTCACTCTGTAGGTCAAATACACTCAAATTTCAAACAAGATTTTTCTGTATTCAAATTTATGCAAATGTATTTTATTCGTAGTGCGAAGTCTTTAAGGGCCCTAACCCACTGCCTGCTATGATATCATAGTACTTTTCCTCTGTTTGCTCTTCACCTTTTGATTTTGTCTGTAAAATTATTTCAGATTTTTTTTAAAAAGAGAGCATAGTATGTTTTATGTAAACTAATCTATGAATCTTCATGCTGCATTTTTGCCATAAGACATCAAATTAATATCTATTTATATTTTCTTCTACAAGTTCTTTGCCACTACAATCTTTATTCTAAAATATCTCATATATGGTTTGGCATATAAAGTACAGAAGAGCTATACTTTTTTGTGTGTTTGTTTTTCCAAAGAATGATTCAGCACCTTTATGGATTGCACTTCAGGAAAGTCATTGTTAGCACCTGCGAATGTGCACAAATACAAGCCTTAGATTTCACCTATTATCTGCTGCTGAATTATCTTTCTCCATTTGTGTGTTTTTCTAGTTTTAGTGCTGTTCTTTTAACTCTGATTGGTTATATCTATGGCCTTTTTAATGTATTTGTCTCAGATCCAGCAGTTATCTCATTTAAAATAATGCTCCCTAGTGGTAGGATATTTTAATAACTGTAGGTAATTCTAGGTTTCTCTCCTTGTACTCAAAGTTTGTGATTTAATTGCAGTATATAATTAAATGATATTTATTTTTAATTGAAATAGACGAGAGAGAGGAGGGAGGGACAGTGGGAGTAAGAGAGGGACAGAGGAAGAGAGGGAAGAAGGAAGGAAAGGAAGGACCCTTAGAATTTAATGATCCAAAGAAAATCAGAAACATAACAATGTTTCTCATCTGACCAGAAGTGGATAGATCTTTTCTCATCTCAGGGAATTGTCTTCCATTGCATTCTCGACCACTGTGTGTGTGTGTGTGTGTGTGTGTGTGTGTGTGTGTGTGTTTCTACCAGTTTTAGAAAGTGTAATAAATTATTGATTTAAATTTTCTATAACTTTTAGTATGCACTTTGCTATTTTGCTTTATTCCTGCTTACTGGTTGCAGGATATTATGTAAAGCCCTTTGTGGCTACTGTATTTCTTTTCTATTAATCCATTTTAAATAGAGTAAGACAGTAAGTCAAGTATTTACCAAACAATAGTAGATGCATTTTTATGTGCAGTACCTTGCTTTTGACTTCCATGAACACAGATTAAGGACTGTCTTAGCTCTTTGGTTGGAATGCTGGGTGTGGATGGCCTCTGGGGCTGGATGGGCAGGGATTCTGATGCGCCTGCAGCCAGACTTGATTCTTCCAATGTGGGAGCACAATGCATCCTATGAGGAGAATACCCTGTGGTCTCATTTGGTTCCCTGACTTTGGAATTAACTGAGTTTCAAAGATGTTGCTTTGGCAGCCATTTCCTTTTGTGCTGCCGCCATGTATTTTATTCTATATCATCCCTATATTTACAGCTCTTGTTCAGCATTTTCTTTTCTCACAAATCTTCCTTTCCTCCCTCCTTACCAGTGAGCTGTGCCTCTATGAACAAAATTTACAACCAACTTGACCTCATACAGTGAGGGCTGGCCAATGCTTAAACCCGGCCTGGCTCGTGCTCTTGTCTTTGGATCTTTCCACTTTCAGCTGCCATACTGAGGATCACCACCCTCTTGTTAGACGCATAGCATGGCAAGCCTGAAACAGCTCATGCTTTTTTTTATTATTCATTAATTTTATTGTTACATTTAGGTATGCAATATGATGATACTTATCATCGGGAATTTGTATCTTTACATGATTGCGTGGTTGTTCCCACTCAGACCCTGCTGCTCCAGAGTCCTGGTTGGTGTATTAATCTCCCAACTCCTCCTTCTGGGCGAGCCTTAGTTCTCAGCCAGCCTTAGTTCTGCCCTCCCTCTCACGGAGTCCATTTGAGGTCCATAGGAAACACACAGATTTCTGGCCTATTTCTGGTGGGAATATGGTTTCTCCATAGACCTAATCCTCTCCCTTTATTTTTCTACCTTGCCATGGACCTATTTACATCTTTTTTCAGCATGAGTCAGAAATCCTTGTTCAGGGTCCTCCCAACTGTGGGGGGGCCGCTGTGGGGGTCTATGTTCCAGTTGTTCCCTTTGAAGGTTAACTCTGTCCTGGTGGGGGAGGTGAGATTCCCTCATTAGTGGTGTTTTTTCTGAAGGCACCTCAGAATCCTCTTTCGGTACACTCTTGTCATCTTTTATAGTCCCAAGGCCTGCAAAGAGCTTTAAGAATCCTGGACTCTGTTCTTAGAAACCTGCTTTAATGATTGCTCTGCAGCCGTCTGTAAGACACTCATTCTGGTTTCTCTGATAGCTGTAGGGTATCTTGAGCTCCGAATTAGAATTTCAACTTTAAAACACCATAGACTAGGGACATTTATTTCCTGTTATTGCTCAAGAGAAAAAAATAAAATTCTATTTCTTCTAAGGCATCATGATTTGGGAATCTGTTTCTTACAGCAACTAATGCCTTCCTGGGTGAAAGCCGAACATACGAAAAACAGAAAATGAAAGACAGAGTCTGAAGGACCCTCATGTTTCCAAGGTAAGTGGAGAGAGAGAGCCTGAGGAGGATTTTGGGGAGCAGATGTGGATGAGAAAACCAAGGAGAGACTAATGTCAAGGAAGCCAAGGAAAGAGACTTGTGAGGTGTCAGATGACATGGTGTGGTAAAGTAAAATATAAGCAGAAAAAGCCAAAGATGTGAAAGTACTCAATTGGGTGCCAGCACTAGCCCACCTGGGTCCACGTCATCATTAGGTGCAATTTTTCAGGGAGAGAAAAATGAATGAGAGGACGAAATAGATTCATCTTTTGCAAAAGGTGGGAAGTAGTGGGATAATGACTGGAGATGAGGGTACTAAGGATCAGCAGAAAGCACATTGTAATTGATAGCTATTAGAAAGTATGTCCCTTTTTTTAAGAGAAATGAGCTAATAAAGTGAGAGAGCTTCGAGAAGAAAAGAGAGAGTGGCGAGTGTGCTGCAGTAGGAAACAATGGATTGATTGATTTTTTTTTTTTTTAAGACTAATGCTCAGATCACTTTGTCCTCCATCACTGTCTTTGGGCCCAACCTTCTTTGACCAATGAAACTTTCCTTGATCGCTCAACATTAAGTGGCGCCTAACTTGGGAGCAACTTCTTCTCCATTATATTTTTCACCACCTGAGATATGTATGTATGTATGTGTTTATTTACTTACCATTGACCTGCTCCTCATAGACTGAAGAGAGATGATGTTTCGTTAAGAGACGAATCTTAGCACCTCACATTGTGTCCAGTTGCTTACATACTTGCTGGCTGATGAATGAATCCTAAGCGTAATGGAAGCATTAACTTTAAGCAGGAAGAAACCTAAAAGGTGGACATAGAGAGACATGACTGTGACAGAGAAAGAGATAAAAATAATTTTCATCTATTTCACAGGACAGGAGGAGGGAATTTTAGCTGCTGAGAGAGGAGGCAGCAGTGGTAATGGGTGTCGAGTGAGAGGATTGGGAAGACAGTTGAAAATTGTTCTTGGTGGAATATTGCTATTGTTGGATTTTGAAAGTCTCTCAAATGCCCAGGTGTTGAAGACTTGGTCCCAGCCCATAATGCTACTGGGAGGAGATGGGGCCTGGTGGAAGGAACGTAGGTCATGGGGGGTGGCCTAAGAGGATCTACTGGGACTCTCATCCTTCCTGTTCCCCTCTTTGCCTCCTGGCTGCTCTTCTACCACACACTCCCATCGTGATATCCTGTGTCACTGATAGCCCGAGGGCAATGAGGAGAAGCAACCACGTACTGAAGTCTAAAAGTATGAGCCAAAATGAACTTTCTCTTCTTAATAGGTTGATTACGTCCTGTAATCTGTCACAATGGTGAAAAGCTAACACAAAGATCAAACTAATTCAGGATACTTCCAGACAACCTGAAAGAATACTGTACTGAAATGAAATGCACTGAAATTCTCAGGAGCATCAGGCCACATAGCTATTCTGTCTTCTCCAGCACCATTTTTGATCCCAAGGTGCAGAAGAGAAAAAGTCTTTGGTAGACCTTTCTGCCATAAAGAAAATGCCCTATAATATGTGCTGTGTAGCACAGTGGTGTGGGTGTTGTGACTGGCTTAGTCTGGGACAGCACATGTAGAGTCACCCAGAGTCAGGCCCTGGCAGAGCAGTAGCCAAACAGGGCAGCGGCAAATGAGAGAATGAGGGAATTTCAGTGATGAAACCAATAGGTGCACTAAGGAATCTCAACTTGGGGAAGGGATGAGTGCTGTGAGGAAGCAACTGAGAGTTTGTGAAAAATATCGTCATCCAAGGATCAGAGGTATTGATGAGGTGGGGTGTAGGTATGTTTGGAGGGGAGAGAGGGTGGCCAGAAGTGGTCCTCAGAGAGTGGAATGTTGAAAATGAAGATTTCAAAGGGTAAGCTGTTGGGAATAGCAAAAGAGTGCCAGGTGTGGTCATGGGGACGGATTTCTTTCGTGGAATGGCATAAAAATCTTTGATGTTAAGGCATTCAGAGAGAGTTGATGATCTAAAAACCTGGAGTTGTTGTAATGTGTTGATGACACATAATAAGATTATCAAAATGCCAGGGCTGTTTTCTAATTAAAAGGAGAAATGCAATGGAGATATTGCTGCTGTTAGTAAACCAACATCTTTGTAGTCTTATCACAAAGTATTTGATGCATGTGTGATCTCTTTTAATCCACTAAGCAGCCTTTTAATGTAGGGCTTTGTATCATTGCCTTTTACAGATAAAGCTACTGAGGCTTAGAAAGAACAATCACTTGTCCAAGGACATACTCTGAAGATGGTTTGGAGCTAGGATTTCAATTCAAGCATTGTCACTAAAATGCATGCAGTTGAATACTGAGTTATCTTGCCTTCTTATTTATGGTAATACTGGGTAGTAGTAAGTGTCTTGGAGGCTCCTGCCCATTCTCACCAACTTCCCGCAGATCTGAGACCCTCACGAAAACACATGTGGTTGAATGGAGGAAGAATGCCCACGGAGAACTCATTGCTAGACAGGTCAGATGTATGCAAGGTAAAATCTAAGAGACAGTGGCAGCTTGTTCACAGTAGGATATTAGGAAAGGATCCAGGAAGAACAAGGGAGTAGAGCCACAAAGCCCATTGGAAGGTACGCTTCCTCGAAAGGGCAAATTGTCAGAAAGCATTGATTCAGGATTGTACTAAAGGCTGGCAAGCAAACAGTAAATTGACATTAAACTTTCCCTCTGAAATTATAACATATGTGGTATGAACTATATTCAATTCTCATGCTACAAGAAAAACCTTAAGCATTATGTGGACATGTGTTAATATATATTGTAAAAATACTAAAGATGAAACAATATAAAATGTCATGGTGTGTGGTTAGCATAGTAGCGTTCAGTTGGTTTGGTTTGTGCTACACCTGTCCACAGGTGGATATTACACAAGATAAAACCCTCAGGAAACAAAATAAAAGTGAGGCTAAATCTTGGAATCCACCCACACAAGTGGTGAGGCTAGGTAACTTGTTTTTCTTTGTACTGTTACTTTAAATTTCTACCATGAAATTTTTATTAGTCATATGCCAGTAAATGAACCTTCCTCTGTCTAAAGCCTCCAAAGTTTCTCCTGATCCTAAATTATGGAAAGGGAGGAGTTGGCATAGTGGTGAAGCATTAGAGATCTCATCCAATTTCTTAACAGTCTTGATAGCCTGATTGATCATCCTCTCTCTCACTAAGATATGCTCACCAAGATACGTTTCTTTCCTTCTATGCAGGTCACAGCTAAGTTGTTCCTCATTCTTAGCTGTGACACATTTTTATTTTCCGAGTACTAGTTGTATGGTATGGAAGAAATAAAAAGAATAAGCAAGACACCAGTAAGGAGAGAAATTATAAACATTTCATGATAGATGGTATGAATTTGTGCAAGTATATGAATTTTGAAGGTACAAATTAGCGTGCAAGATATGCTATATTCCTTTAGTCTTCTCTGATCAACACCAATAAGCAGAAAGTCAAAGACCTGTTATGCGTTTTGCTTCTCAACAGTTCCTGGATTTTACCAGAAATCCTTTTGCTCAAGCCTCCCAAGGTTCCCACGGGCCAGTGCTGAGATTGAGCACCTTAGTTGCACAACTCCAAGGGGACTGAGACCTCGGAACGCTCCTTGGACACCTTCCCAGGTCCTGTAAGTCTTCGCTGCTCTCAACCCTCTTCTTCTCTTTCCTCCACCATGTTTAATTCATCATCCTCTCCTTACCTGTACCAAACACCCACCATTGCCTTTCTCAGATTAGGAAGAACCTTCCTTGAAGAAGTACTAGAGGCAAGAAAGATGCATTTCTACCATTCATATGGGGCAAAAAGAGCGAAAGGAAGTTAACCAGTTTTAAAACAAATTGTATTCACCAGAACTATAACAGCTTGTAAACTAAGATGCCTGAACACGGAACACAAATATTCAATAATTGATACACCATCATAATGGAAAATACCTAGACATTGTTCAGTGCTTCTCTACTTCCTGTTTTAGAGGCGAGAAGACACATAAACCTGTCCAAATTTATGCAACTATCCAGCAGCAGAACTGGACTACAAATTCAACTCTACCCATGTCCAAAATCCATGCATTCCATGGACTGTAACGTACTGGTCGAGCCTGCATTTGTAGGGGGCTGTACTATGTGCTACACATATTGCTAAATACCCTTCAGTCAGTATCTCTTCTAATCCTACAGTATCCACTTTCACAGTTGTTATAAACCCATTTCAAACTTGAGGCAGTTGAAGAACTTACTGAATTAATTCCTCATTCATTCTTCAACTACAATCTGAGTTTTCCCTGGAAAGCCATTAAAGTTGTTCTGATAAATATTACCAATAATTCTCTACAAAGAAAATGGCAGGGCATCTGTTTCCATCCTCGGCAACTCCCCCTCCAAGCCTCTCTTGTCCCAGGGCTCTCCTGACACCTCATCCCACTCTCCCCACTGGCTGAGGTTTACTGCTAGTCTCTCAGGGGGGCTCTGACCCTTGTTTTTTTGCTCTTATCTCTCTAGGTTCAGACTTATTTGAGGGATTGTTGTCCACTCTGATTTTAACTGATAATGATGGTGATTTCCAAATCTTTCAGTGACCCCCACCTCTTCCTTGACTTGAGGACTCTTACTGACATCCACTTGATTTTATCATCCAGGTGTCTGTCAAACAACTTTAATAGTGAATGTTAACATCAAAGTCACCTTCTTTCCCCTCAAATAAGTCCATACTTTTGAATTTGCAGCCTAGTAGTTGGTGTCCAGTCACCCAAGAGTCACTACTTGAATACTTTCTCTTTTCTACCACTAAATACAATCAGCAATCACATTTTAATTATTTACTTTTTACATATGTCTCTGATCTAGGCTTTCTGTCCCATTAGAAAAGTGGTAGAATAAAAAAATAAGACTTGGGAACTCAGCCTCAGGTTCTACCACAATTAAAAAAAAAAACCCTCAACAAATGTTAGCTATTATTTTTAGTGATCTGTAAACAATAACAATAAATGCCGCAACAGAATAACACTGCATCCACCACAAGCCACCACTAGTAATTAATGAGATGTAGGATCTTTTGAGTTAATTCTCCTATTGTTCCCTTCTTTCTTTTTTCTTTCATACTTTCCATATCTTTGTTCTATGTCCAGAGACATCTCAACTTTTCTTCCCATTACTTGGTATACTGGAGAGTAACCTGAAGATCTATCCACTGTACTACACACCCTAGATCTTTTTATTTTTTATTTTGAAACAGGCCTCACGAAATCACTAAATTACCTAGCCTGGGCTCAAACTATCAATCCTTCTGCCTCAGCCTCCCAGAATGCTAAGATTCCAGGCATAAACCCCACTTGCATCTCTTTTACTTTTGTTTTAACTTACATATTTTCAATTTGTAAAAGCATTTCTATTATTCTCTGTTTCTTTTTCCTCCCCTTTTGGATTTAATTTCTTCTGAAATATTTCCAAGGACATTTTTAAAGATGCCTTTAGAAAAGCCACTGTCTGTTGTCTACTGAAAATATATCCTCTTTGCCACAACCTAAGACTTTCTATTTGTGCATCTTTTAAGCTTTTGGTTTTCCTAATGCCTGGTGTCCCTTTCTACATAAGATAGAGTATGCCAGTATAGCTGGCATCCAGTCGCCAGAGTAGGAGCAAGTATTTTTGGTGTAGGCTTTAGTAGATGTGTTCTTCCTCCTCCAACTGTAAGGTAGGAAACACGAACATATTATTTGGTTTGGTTTGAATCTCTGAATCTAGATGGGCATGGTGGTCACGCCTGTAATCCCAGCACTGGAGAGGCTGAGGCAGGAGGATCGCTGTGAGTTCGAGACCAGCATGGGCTACATAGTTTCAGGTCAGTCTCAACTACATAGTGAGACCCTGTCACAAAAGAAAAAAAAAAAAAAACCAAAAACACCAAAACTAAACTTCATATCTGGAAAGGGTGTTTGGCACACCCATAAAAACAGAAAAACTAAGAACCTATTCCTCTCTTAAGAACTTTTTTTGGAAGGCTCTTCCCTTTTATAAGGAACAAAATTGTTAGCAGAGTCTAAAGTAAGCTTCTAATGAAATATAGGTACTGACATAGTCCTGGGAAAGAAATTGATTTTCAGCAAGATCAATCCTTCAAGCCAGTTTTATCCCTTCCTCTTTTCATTATAGAAACTTCCAAAAATTAAATCAAAGCAGAAAGAAGCACTGCTGATCTGATAACTAATACCCTGAGCATCAAGAATTAGAGGATATGAATCTATTCCATTTGTGTTAGGGAGATCCTGAGAACCATCATTTAACTCACTGAAGCCAATTTTCTCTAGGCAGATCATAAGTCACATCCACTTCCAGGGTTTCGTGGGAATTTAAGTAAATACAGGATATTTCATTCACCTCAAAAGTAATATGTCTTACAAAATCCCACTACCAAACTTCAGTTAAACTCATGTTGGTATCACGGCTTGTGTCTACACATAATTCCTCAAAGACAAAAACCAAATGAGATTCTACATGCTAGTAGCTCCCGCTCTACAGTGCACTTGGAGGTTGTCACACACGAGTCAGAACTTGACTGAAAAAAATTCTCAGGTCCTAATCTCCAAATCTTAACCCTGCTGTTCTCCCCCTTTCAGCCTACATGCTTCTGAGGATGAGAGGAGTCAGCCTGACTTGCGGCTCTTCAAATGAGCTTCATACTCTCCTTTTATTTCTTTTCGTGGATGCATATAAGCTCTATTTCATTTTTTTTTTACTTCGTAATTCAAAAACTTATGATAGAATAGTAAATGAATCTTTCTATTAACATTTTCTGAGACATGGTTAGCCGTCTTAAATCTGTACCCTGGTCTTTCCTTTCGCTCAAGAAGGTTTTCTTAGAATTCATCAGGATTCCTCTCCAGCTTCTATCCTAACCTTTCCATGGCACGGACCCCACCTCATTCATCCCTCCGTAGGTTTCTTCGTTTCTCTGAGGAGCTACTGAAGTTCCTCACTATTGTTAGGGTAGAGTTTTACCCAATCTCCATCTTGATGTTTATGATTGCTAGTACAGATTTTCATTCTGCAATTATAATTTTAGTTTCTATAACTCCTTTTAGCCCTCTTTTCTTCTCTCTCTCTCTCTCTCTCTCTCTCTCTCTCTCTCTCTCTCTCTTTTGTACTGGTACTGAGATTGAACTCAGACCCTTGTACTTGCCAGGTAGGCCCCAGAAGCACTGAGCTAAATCCCCAGCCCTACCCTTTTATTTTCTTGTTAAATTATTTCATTGCTTTTATCACCTCATCCTTTTTTTTCACACCCCTCTTTCTTAGACTATTTCAGGTTACCAAATTTCTAAACTGTTCTTCTACTAGTAGATATTTAGAAGAATGCCTTCCTATTGAATGTTTAAATGGAAATGGGCAATTTTCTTTCTCAAATACTTAGTTCTCACTAGACTTTTCTTTTTTCTTTTTGGTTTTTTTCGACTGCAGAGAAAGCTGTTCATATTTAATGTTTGTAATCAAACAGAGTTATAGATTCTTGGCTTTGTTCTCCATCTTCTGTCAAAGGTGAAATGCTCTGGAAAGAAGGTAATTAGTAATGCCTAGAGTTTACAAGTATTTTTCTTTTTCTTTTTTTTTCTCATTTAGTTTATTTTAGGTATACAGTACAGTTACATTCATCATTGGGATCTTGTACCTTTGCATGACAGGTCTTGGTGCTCATTTTTTCCCCTTGTCCCTGCCCTCCCTTCACCCCCTCCTCCCCTCCCCATTTACAAACACTTTATTTCCATTTTTTTATTTTCTCCTATTTTTTTCTTTTCTCTTATTACCTTTCTCCTACCCTTCCCACTTTCTCTACACCTTTAGCCCTTTTCTTCCTCTTTCACATTGTCAATTATCTCATTAGGATCTTATGCACTATTATAGTTTATTCACACCAGAGAAACTATTCAGTATTTATACATGTGTGACTTCCTTATTTCAGTTAGGAAATCCATTTTCCTATGAATGAATCTAATTTCTCATTCTTTATGGCTGAGTAGTATTCCATTTTATAGAAAAACCGCATCTTCTTTATCCAGAGACATGGAAGCGGGTATAACAATACCCAATTTGAAACTATACTACAAGTATTTTTCTTGAGATCAGTGATTCTGTGCTATTGCACCCCAGACGGGATAGATGAATGCCTACCATTCCCATACACTTTCACAAAGGAATTTGCATTCTCATCTGCAGGAGGGATTTACCAAGGGGATGATATTGCTAAGATGCAATAGTCCTGTATTTGCTGCTGCGTTTTCAGAAAGTCATCATCGCAGAGACTGATGCAGAAAGGTGATGGAGATTAATAAAAGGAGAAAGGAGAGAGGAAAGAGGCCAATATCTAGACCCCTTTGGAAAACGCCACATATGGAAAAGGAGAAGTCAAGGAATGGAGGGAGGAATAAAGGGTATTTCTGTTATAGGGAGGTGCTAAAGTGCCAATCAGTTAAGATGTTTTGTTTTGTTTTGTTTTTGTGGTACTGCGATTGAACCCAGGGCCCTTGCACTGAGCTACACCCCCAACCCTTTTTTATTTATTTATTTTTTAAATTTTGAGACAGAATTCTCATACCTGGATTTGTCTCAGATTTGGGGCCCTCCTGCCTCTGACCCAGAGTGCTGGGATTACAGGCTTGAACCACCATTCTAAGCTTCAGTTAGGGTGCACCTATGCAGCAGGTCCTATGCTTACCTCTCCGGCAGTTTTCTGTCTCATATCTGTGAGCAGGTCCAGCCTTAGGTGGTACTGGGATGAGCAAAGCCATTTACCTTTGATACGATCCCCAAGGCACACCTGTGCCAAAGTAACTTCCACACTCACAGGCACTATCTGCTAACAAAAATTTGCTTCCTTCCCTTCGCTTTGAGGAATTGCCTAAGTGACCTGCTAACATTAAAATACCACCCATCCAACATGGTTTACACCAATCCCTAAGGCAAATGCTGGGAACATAGTTCTCACTGTGGGCTGAGAAAGAAGGCAGAGACTGACAGCTGAGTTTTGCAGAACTGTGGTTAATCCCCTGAAGAAAGGGGTGCCCAAAGAGCAGTGCTCAATGTTGTGAGGTGTGAATTCAAAAACCATTTGGTTTTTCCTCTCCCAAGAAAGACAACTAGAGTTTCCTTCAACAGTGACCTGCTGGCTGAAAACTAAAAGAGAAGGAGGATTCTATATGTATTGCAACATCTTGAGGTCACAGAACAAATAAAAAAACATTTCACTGAATGTGATTAAAGCTTGTAATTTTTGCAAAGCACTCATAACAAATAGGACCTATTTGAGTTTGACACCCCGCCCTCCCTGCCACCGCCTTTGTTAGGGTGAGTGATTGTCCCCACTGCAATGGGTGGCTTGTTGAGGCTTTGAGAAGCCTTCCGTGAATTACCACTGGCCACACAGCTATTAAACAGAAGAATACAGAACTGCAAGCCAACAGTTCCAAGCCCAGGAATCTTCCTAGTATGGTGTTCAGAGAAATTGGCCGTAGAGCAGAGAGAATTAGAGAGAATGAGCTAACCTCGGATGTCCGGCTCTGACAGTGGGCCTGGGTTTTATGAATAAATGAAGTTGCTTTGAAGTGTTGTAAGGGAGGGATAGCATAATGGGTTTCAGAGTCAGATGAGAGCTCCAGGCCCAGCTCTGACATTGATTAATTCTAACCTTGGGCAAATAGTTTAACCCAACTCTGTTCTCACCAGCTGGAGGATTAAATGAGCTACTGGAAGACACAGAGCCAGCATCTGACAGATTTTAAGTTCTCAATAAATATATGTTTCCTTTTTTGTTTAAATCCAGAAAAGAAGGAAGGCAAACTATTTGTTTGCTATGTAATAATCCTATATATACAGAAGGCTGAGGCAGAAGGACCGCAAGTTCAAGCACAACCCAGGCAACTTAGAAGGACCCTGACTCCAAATAAAAAGTTACATAGTTAAATGGGTACATTTTGAGGATATACTTCTAAATGAAATAAATAAGGCACACATATGCAAATACCGAATAGTATCTCTGGTGTGAAAAACTAAAATAGTACTCAAGATCCTAATGGGACACTTAGCAAATAGGAAGAAAAGGACCAAAGGTGTAGGGACAGTGAGAAGGATAGGGAAGGGGGAATAAGGGAAAAGGAAAAAAATATGAGAAAGGGTAAAAATGGAATTAAAGTGTTTGAAGGGGGAGGGGAGGAGAGGGTGAAGGGAGGGCGGGGACAAGGGGAAAAAATGAGAACAAAGACCTGGCATGTAAAGGTACAAGATCCCAGTAATGGATGCAACTATACTGACTACCTCGAATGTACCAATAAATTAAATTAAAATAAATAAATAAATAAATAAAATAAAAAGTTAAAGGAAAAGGTCTGGGGAAGGAGCTGAGGGCAAAGGCCCTGGGTTCAACGCCCAGTAGTACATAAATAAAATAAAAATAAGCAGAATATGTCTTAACAGAGAAGCACTGACAAAGCACTCCAAGCGTCCAGGCAACGGCGAAGACCCAGGCAATGAGTATGGCAAGCTTCACTTTCTGCCTGATGGAGACAGCGCAGGCAAGGTCGAGCCCCCTGGAGGACCTGCTTTCCTCCAGACAGACTGCATTTCCAGAGGCTTCCTGCTTCCAGTGGGCCCTAGCCTTCTTTTTTTAAAAAAAAAAAAATAATTGTACTGATACATGCTTGTGGTTTGATACATATTCGTATTGTATCTTGATCACTTTTTCCCCATACCCCTGCCCTCTCCGCTCCTTTCTTCCCCAGAACCCTCTTCCCTTCTCCACAGAGTCTACCTCCTAGTTTCTTACCATGGCTCTTAAATCAGTCACAGAAGGTTAAATACTGGGGGATTTCTCTAATACCATAACTGATTTATCATACTTAGTATTATGGCCTCAAGAGCCATCCATTTTCTTACAATTGACTCAAATGTATCCTTCTTTCTGGCTGGGTAATACTCCACTGTGCATAAACGTCACATTTTCTTTATCCTTCATCTCTTGATGGGTACCTAGACTGCTTCCGTGATTTAGCTCTGGAGGACTGTGCTGCTAAGATAAAATTTTACTCTTTTTTGGCTCCAATTTTACTTTATCCCGCTTTATAATAATTTATATACTTTTATAAGACTACCAAAATCCTTTTCTGTGAAGATAGATATTAACAATGAAAACAGGGCAAATGAGGAATACATTATTAAAATTGTTTTTAATATTTTCTATTGTCAGCCCTCCCTCTGCTTCTAAATTCAACCTCCAAGAGCTTTGGCTTCTACCACCTTTCAGGGGCTGTTAGGACATTCATTAGGCATCATATTTATTACGTATTATGATCTGTGTAATAAATGTACTACATTCACTGTGTGCCACAAACATATACTAATAAAATCATATAAAAAGAAAACCTTTTCTTTAAAGTTACTATTAGTAAAGTTTTCTGTTACCTGAAACCAAGGATTTTCTCAGCTGAGAGATGTGGAGAGCAATATAGTTATAGCCCTGGGAAACTGTTCTTATTTACCATTACTGCCATATATCATAAATACAGCTTAATTGCTGTGCTGTACTTTAGGAATCTGTAAACTAAATTGTCATTTGAACTCAAATCTATATGCAGTGTTTCTTTAGTTTTACTTATTTCTACAATACAGTTGCACCTAAATCTAATAGGGAGGCAAGCACAACAAATCCCATGTTATACCAATTTTCCTGAAGACATGGTTTAACTGCTTGTGAACATTCATCCTTAAGAAAAAAACCTAGAGTAAGATGAGGTTAAAATAAGAGAACAAGGGAGTCCACAGACACTCAGGTTATCCTAGGAATAAATAGTTTTAAATCCTAAAGGAAGCTCCCTGGATATTTTAAAAATTTAAAATGCACATTACTTTCATCACTGCCAATCCCAAAACCCTAATGATCTGATGATATAAACAAATGGAAGACTGTGTTTATGGGAACTGCTCCTAGTTAAGCCCAGCTGACTGGCCTGTGGGCTCATGGGTCTTCCAGTCCTGCTTTTCTCCATTTATGCCCTTGATCATGGTGTGCTTTCTCTTGCCCACACTGTCCTGGCTCTGAATCGTTGGGATTGATTTCCCAACTGACATCCGCCTCTGCCCTGCTCCTCTAACTGTTGAGAACATTCTGATTCACCTTCTGGCATTTTGGACCTCCGCTTTCCTACAGTTTATGAACTCAGTTGCCCTTCCAGGGTGACACCCTCCTAGAATTCCAAATTGTGGTCTCAGCCCAGCTGGACTTGGGGAAGGAGGAACTCCAGGACACCCCATGGAAGAGCCTCACCACTCAGCCCTCTCCCTCCACCTCCCAACACAGGAGGGTTTCAGACAAATATGGTGAAGCCAGAGATGAAAGGCTGGAGACTGACAGATAGATGGCGTTTCTCTTGGTCAGAAACCATCCCTGGTTCCATCTGTAATGACCCTTTCAAGATTGAAATGCTTCTGGTGGACAGAGTCAATATCACCCTTTGCAATGGAAAGAGGGGAGAACATGGTAGACAGAGGCTTAAATCTTTTCATAGGTGAGCTATTAAACCACAAGAGCAGGAAAACACCTGATTACATGAAGTTCATAGTTTGATCATGATGAGAATGAGCAATACCCCTACACTCTTCATCCCATACCCCACCACAGATACTCCTCAAGGCCACACCTGTAAAGAGTCATCTTTCACAGTGATCTGGGTCACGGACTGTCATTAGTTATAGGCATCGGGGTTCAGCTACATTAAAGTAGGACTGATAGGTGGTGCAGGAAGAATATAATATGAGGCACCTCGTTCGTGCTCCCAAGCACTTTGATCAACCTGCAGAGATGTGTCAAAGACAATCATTTTCAAGCTCTGGAATCAAAAGGCCAAAAGTCTACTCAATGGAACTGTTTTCATTGGACAAAACTATTTTTTTCATTTTGAATATGAGTGAGATAATCTTCGTGTAATTTGTGCACACATGAAAAATAGATTGGAGGGAAGAGCAGACACTATTGATAGGACATCTACTCAAAAGCTGCCTGCCACCCTCTTTCCTCACTGAATTCTGATTTTGTTCAGCTCACCTCATATTCCAGGGCTGACTGGATTCCTCTCCCACCACAGGACTGCACACTGATTGATACAGACTAACTATGATGGTTTTATTTCCTAGACCAGTGATTCACAAGAAATGGATGCATTGCACAACTCTTGCCAGTGAGGTGAAGTCTGGAACTTGTGAGAGAGTTTTTCTTTCCCTTAAGAAAAGTGGAAATAAGAAAAGTACCTATTTTCTTGTCTCTCAGTATCATTATGAGAGGATGTGATACTGGGAACAGCCATCTTGTGACCCTGAGAAAGGAAAAGTCAAGATTACTCCAGGATAGCTGACCTCATTGAACTATTTGGACTTCAGCGGAATTACCCAACACCCAGACTTCCTGTTAGGTAAGATCAACCTGCCTTTACTTCTTCAGCCATTTTTAGTCAAGTCTTTTGTTGCTACTAGCAAAATATATCCTGGGTGGTGTAAAAACCATACCTAGAGGCATAGAATTTGGAGATTATTTGGTTGGGGTACAGGTGTTACTGAGACAGAGAAAAGGTGGCTGCCTAACTAACTTGTAAAAGTCAAACTTCCTGACAGCACCAGTGTGTGTTTTTTCTCTGCCCTATTTCCTTACAGTGAATGGCTTATTAATTTTAAGACCAGTGATATGCGCTTGTGTTTGAATGGTTTTCTGATGATCAGCGCTGTCATTTTAAATAAAATATTTAGCCTGCCTAACCAGGTAATGGGAAATATTTAGCTAGAGGGTTAGGAACTAGACTCAACCTTGTAATTTATCGCCTACAACTATAAATCAAGCCTGTGTCAGAGAGCTACAGAGAAGAATAAACAATGATACAGCTGGCTCTGATTTTTCAGCAATCTATGGCAAGCCTGGACGTGCTCAACAATCACACCACGCTACAGAGAGTTGTGCTGCATTTAATCTGCAACCTTAAAAGGGCTTAATTTTCATTATCGGTATTTAGATACCCTCGAGGGCTTCATTTCTAAATCTTTTATCTTGTATAGCCATGCTGTTAGGCTAAGAGAAGTGTGCCTTTTTTCAAAATTCCATCTTGCATAGCCTCTCAGGTCTTTGTCCTGCTGACACTTGCCTCTTGAGCGTCAAAGGGTGGATGCATCTTTGCTGAACCTGGGGTATAGCAGCCCTGGGACCAGACTCAATTCTCAGAGAGGGCTTTGTGCCTGGTGGGGGTGGGGAACAGATACAGGAAGTCATTTAAGTCATAACATTTCAGAGTCTTGCAACAAGTCCTCGAAAAAAAAAAAAAACTGCTGTAAATAAGTCATAACATGTTCTCTATAATGCAGAGCTACCCTTCTGCCAAAACGACTTTGGTACTGTCTTTCCTTTAGCTGCCTGAACTCTCCCCTAAGAAGTTACCTCATCCTGACCACCAGGACTGAAAGATGCTAGGTGTGATTCCCATTCATTCCCTGCAGATAATCCTTCCCTCACCTTAAGAAGTAAGGCCAAGCCCAGCAGTCCTCTGTGCATGGGAAAGCCAGAGGACTAGTGATGGCAAAGACAGCAGTTGTAGAATCATTTGACCCCAGGGCCTAACTGCTCCAGGAGAAACTTTGATGAAATGCTGACAGCAAGCTTACCAATGTTCACTTCTTCCCTTGTCATCCTTCCAAAGTAGCAACCTAGACCACTCAGAGTTACTCTTGTGCTTGGAAGGTAGTCTATCCTCCAGTGCTAACAATATTGGCACTTCTCCAACTCTTAAAACAGCAAGTCTCCTGGAAATGTCCCCGTGAGCTTCCTGTGGGCAGCTCACACAAATTTAGTCTCCATGGTAAGGACCTCATTCATGGCAGGAATGGATCGACCAGTTGGGGGCTTCTCCAGTTCTAAAACCACTGCTGTCTTATTAGCTCTTTCTCAGATTTGTTTCATTGAAGGATATTTGTCTAGAAACCTACAAGATTCTTCCCACTTTATTGAAAACCCTTCTGAGATGGGAATGGAAAATGGAAGCTGAGGACCAGGTATGCAATCTTGATGTTTAGAAACCTGTCGTATTTCTGAGATGGGAAATTTTCCTTTCTACTTTTAATGTGTGCCAAGTGAAAACTGAAGAAGCATGTCTGGGGAGGGCTATCTTCATTTAATCATTTATAAGAGCTCATCTCATTTTAGTGAAATACACATATAGGACTTACAATAGAGTCTTATTAAATCAGAATTTCTTTTTCCTTTTTCATTTGAATATGAGTTTTAATTATATAAAACATCAATTGCTGCAAAAATGATCCTATATGTGTATTTGAGCTTTGAGTGCCCTCTACTGGAACAAAAGCAAGAGTAAGAAATCAATAGTGTAGAGATATTTTCTAGGCCTGCCCAAGTACTAAAATGCTATTATCCTTAGGGAAACAATAGTAAGAGTAAGAATTTAACATATTTCACTCATGGTGGCCTGAGAGTGAGAATATTGTTTTTCTAAAAATTGCCTTAAGGTAGTCTTCATGCTGCCTGTTTTATGGATTTTACATGTCTGAAATGATCTAAAAGAAAAAAATTGTAGTTGGGGAAATGCAAGAAAAATCTAAAAGAAGAAGCATCTCCAGCTTGGCCTTTTGGCTTATTTTCAGGGACTGAGCTCTTCACACTGCTAGTTTTTCATTACAGCCATCACCTCTGGAACAGCATAGGACCCCAAATCAGTTTCCTTCTTTAATCCTTTTCCTTACAAAACTGTTGGGTGATTTCAATTTGCATTAAAAAAGGTAATTTTGGGGCTCAGCTTCCAGGGCCTTTGACCTTTTCTGCTCTTACCACTTCCTCTCTCTCGTTGCTTTAGTTTCGTCCACTGGCTCCCATTGGTGTCTCTGCTCCACCCTGGACCTACTGCAACCTCCATTCCCCGTGATCATCACCAGACTAACCCTGCACCACATTGCCTTCGTACCTGCTCTACTCACTGTCCCCATGACCAAGCCGGGACTCCCTCTACTTAACCAGGACCTCAACCCCTCATTTCAACTGATTTCCTAACTTGTCTGGACTTCTTGGTTTATTATTTCAACCACACTGTCATCTACACACTCATTTCCAACAACCCTTTGATCTTCTCTACGAGCTTTGCAAATAGTCTGTTCTACAACAGCCGGATGATTCATTCTGACTGGCTCTAGTTTCCAAGCTATGAGGCATGGCTGAAGAAAGTCGTGTCGCTTTGCTCACTGGTTAACGACAGATGCTCACAGCCAGCTTCAGGTAAGAAGCCAGGACTGATCAACAATGCTCTTTTCTTTCTGCTCTTTGTTTTCCTAATGCCTCAGGGAGTATTCAAACCTGTTTATTTTCCTGTCTTCTGATGTGATTCGCTTCTTACATTTCATAAAGAAACTGAGGCTACCGGATCTTTAATTTTCTTATCCTGAGCTTCCAAACTTGTTTTTCCCTCCACTCTTTCTCCTTTTCTACCATGAGATGCTAGCCTCTACTCCATTTGCTACAGCTTTCAGCCTTTCTTAGATTCTGCTCCAATAATTTCTTCAATTTTTCTTTCTCTTCACAGGTAATTTTTTCTTGGACTTAGGCTATAAACATTCTAGATTCTCCACTTTCCTCCCTTCCTCTTCCCAGAAAAGGCACTCTCCAAATCCACACCCAACTCTCCCATAAATTTCTACCCATGTCTGCTTTGCTTCCCTGTGAAGCTTCTTGGAACAGTAGACTGTTCTCCTTGCTTCTACTCTTCCTCAACCACTTACACCTCCACACCACACGAGCTAGCATGGTTCCATGCTTTTGCCATTAACCAGGAACTGAGGTAAAACCAAAAGTCTCTGTAACATCAGGTCCCAGGGAGTATATACCTTGTTATTCAGCCATAGTTAGCTGAGACTCCAGCCTAGGACAGCTGCTTCACTGCAGTCAACTGCTGTACCAGGAAGAAAGAAGATATTTTATCCTTCCCTTCAAGGGCCTTTACCAGAAGCTGTGCACACCCCTTCAACTTGCATCTCATTGGCCAACTTAAGTCACATGACTATACTGAGCTGCAAAGGAAACTGGAACATAAAAGTCTTTATTCTGATTGACCAGCTAAAATTGTAGTTTTCCTTTACTATAGAAAAATAAGAAAAATTATCTTTGGCCATTTTAAATTCTTTGTGTACTAAACTCTAGACAAAGATACAAAGAAACTAATAAAATTGAGGTTTATAGATGCAATAAAATGTATTTTTCATTTTTGTGTAATTTCATGGAATTTTTATCTGATATTTTCTGTGCAATATGTACTGTAGGAAAATTATTGAAGTTTTGTGTCAGCATATGCTACATGTTTTCTAAATGTTTTTCAAACACATGAGCAAAATATATATTCATTTTGAAGTGAAAAGTAAATAAATACAGGCTATTTTATCCTATGAATATTATTACACTTTTAAGTGCTTAAGCTTTAAAAAAATATTGACAGAGACAATGTCAATAACTACAAAGCTGTTATACTGATATTTTTTTCTTCTATTTGCAAATAAGTTTTATATAAAGTAGAAATAATATGTTGATGTTATCAGTTCACAAAGACTCCTGACAATTATATCAGCATTAAGGATTTTATTTTTTACTGTGTAGTGACTTGAAAGTTATAATCTTTTATTCTAATTGAGTGTTTTGCAGTGTCAAGTTATAATTTTTTTTTCATTTCTTACTGTTTTATTTTCTGGTTTTTATTTTTATCAGTACATGTTTGCAGTACATAATGATTGCATTCCTTGTGTGGAGTTGTTTCATGCACATGACACATTTTAATTCTTTTTTCATCTCCTTCCCTTTCCCTTACTCCCTACTCCCTTCATCTCTTGATCCCCTTCATTATTCAAAGGCATTCAATATCAGAGCAAGATTATTATAAGAAACAAGGGGCATCATATATTTTAACCCATACATTTCTAGCTCTTAGTATCTTTTGAGTGAGCTAGTATTTGCAGTAAGAAATTTGGTACATTTTCACGTTACTCTCCAGTTATTCTTCTTAGTTTTAATTGATATGGAGTAGTAGATCCATAATGCTGTGATTTAGTTAATTTTATAATGTGTGATTATTTTGAAGCAATTGTTTTGACTTGTGAATTTATATGTCTAACCCATATTTATAGTGTACATCACTCCCCATGATTCGTTGATTTCAACATTTACCTAGGGTCCTTTTATAGGACTTTTCCATTCTTGAGTTGTGTTTTAGATTTATACCTCCATCAATGGAAGTACATCTTTGTTTCTGTGTTTGCTTGCTTGTTTTTTCTATTTTTTTAAACAAAAGCTTGTGAGAGTTCCTTTCTGACTGCTTGCATTCTGAGATTTTTGAGATTATTTTAATTGACTCAAACATAATACTACTCATTGGGGTGTAGTAGCCTTGTAATACATCCCACATACATCACCTAGAAACCTTAAAGAATGGACTATTAGTAGGCCAACATGGAAGTTTTTTTATGTGTTTGATTTTGATATTAATGTACACCAATAGCTTTCTCTATACCACAAGAACTAGTATGCTGAGAAGAGTCAACTAAATGCACTATAAACAAGGAATATTTTATTCTTATTTCTTAATCCCCCTCAAACTTTGTCTTCAACCACACTATAATAAATCTTCTACTTATGTCCTTTGACAACTGAACAAATTTCATCATTTGCTTTGCCAAAACATATCTAGATTGAAGATTAAATCATAAACTTGATTTAAATGACTTCTCTCTTCTTTCCAACAGACTTCACCCATGGTGCTAAAAATCAGAAGTATGAAGTTAGACCACATTACCTCTTTTAGTTACGCCCATCCTTATCCTCTGTGCATGGGTTCTTAGGCTTGGAGCCAACTAAAACTGCAGCAGGTATTTCCAATTTAAAGAATTAACAAACAAAATGTTCCTGTGAGGCTAAGAGTTTAGTGTGGTTCTAGGAACTAAGAAAGGCCAAAGTTACTTGGGATTTGTGGAGAAAGGGCCCAAAGTCATGTGTTGTGGCTGACAAATTAGGCAGGGGCCACATAACGAAGCTCTTGAAAGACATTGAGAGATGAGATTTTTATTCCAGCTGTATGGCTAGAAACCCCTTTTTTTTTTTTTTTGTACTGGGGTTTGAACCCAGGGCTTCAAATATGCTAACCAAATGCTCTGCCACTGAGCTGCATTCTCAGCCCTCACCTGAAACTTCTGAGTAAGGGAGACTCGATCTGATGTAAAGGACATACCTGGCCATGGTGACAAGAACAGAATGTGAGGGAAAAATGTAGAAGAAAGAAGACCTATTGAGAAAGATGGCAGTGATCCAGGAAAGAGATGTCCACAGCCTGGATCAGGGTGGTATCAAGAAGGACAGTGAGGAGGCCCCAGATCGTGCATATGTTTTGAAATATTTTAAATATCTATGACAGATTTTATGAAGGATCAGATAGGGAAAGGAGAGAAGGAGAAAGTGAAGAATGATTCCAATCTGTTTGTTTGTTTTAGTGTTACTGAGGATTGAATGCAGGCCCTTGTATATTCCAGGCAACTTCTCTGTCACAGAGCTATACCCCCAGCCCAGTCTCCAGATTGTTACCCTGAGCAATTTAGTAAACAATAATGTCATTGACAAAGAAGGGATATGCTGGAGGAAGAGAAAATGTGATGGGAATCAAGAGTTCAGGTCCCATCCATCAAAGTTGAAATCGGGTAAGTGTCCCATCCACAGCGCAGGTGTGCTGGGGCAGGGGAGCAGTTTACTGAGGGACCAAAGAAAATACCGAGACAGCTTTTTTCTTTCTTTTTCTTTTTTTCTTCTCATGCTTTTTCTTCTCTTTTCTTCTCCTCTTTTCCTCTCCTTCCCTTCCCCTTAATTTCTGCTTCCCTCCCTCCTCCCTCTTTTCTCTCTCCCTCCCTCTTTCTCTTTCTTTCCAGACAGGGTCTCACTAACTTACTAACTTGCCAGGCTGGTTTCAAATTTATGATCCTCTTGCTCAGCCTCTCAGAGTACTGAGATGATACCTGCCATCCTGCCTGGCTCTGGAAGCTTTTGAAAGATAAGATTTATTCGGGCCAAATAACTAATGGAAAAGATACTAACAGGGAGGGATCCAGGAGAAGCTCATGACGTCCAAAAGCTCTACTCTGAATGTCCACAAGAGGCTTGCACTCTCCAAGGACAAGGTTTGGCAAATTCAAAGGGATGAATGCTCAAGAAGAGCATCACTTGGAGGGAGAGGAGGGAAATAAAAAGAATTAAGATGGGCATGTACATCTGCACCTGTACAGGTACCAACCCTCCATAAAAATAATCATTGATTACTGGAACATTTGGTGACAATTTTTAAAAAATGAGCATCACTTGAGAGGTCCATGGTGATGGGCTGAACAAATATCCCAACAAAGTATTGGAAGGGTGTAGTGGTGCCCACTAAACTGGTGACACTCGCCCTCTCCACTGAGCTCCATAACATACCTGGTCACTGTAAGGGGAGGTGTTTTATAGATCAAACCATATAAGCAGTGATGTCATCAGCTGGCCTTGGGCCCTAATAGGACCAGCATGCCGAGGAACAGCAGGACAGCAATTTCTACAGATAACCCTAGTTTTCCCAGTTCTTAATGTCCTTCAGTTAATAATTATCTGGATGATACAGCTATGGGAATGGAGGTGATCACTGAGCCAGCAAGTGTGTCTCTGGGGGGTGGGGAGAAGAGGTCCAAAGACTACATCCAGGAGTATCCCAGCTTGTAGAAGTTAGGAATATAAAGAAGAAGAGGCAATGAAGATGGACAAAGAATGATTGGCACGATAGAAGAAAGAGTGTGGTTCCCTAGAAGCCAGATTGAGAAACACTTTATAAACCATTCTGAAAAAAATCTAGAAATGCTGTAGGTAGTTGCAAGAACGATTTCGGTCTTTTCTGTATTCCTTTAATGTTTTGGCTTCATCTCACACTGGCTGCTTGTTGAAAATACACGCAAAACATTTTTTCCCCTGTTTCAATTCAATTGTTATTTTTAGAAGCGTGTTTTCCTTTCCTCTGACTAGTGAATATTGCCTTCCTTTTGCGTAATGCCCCGGTTTTATGTCTCCCCTTTCCACGTACCATGAAGTAACATCATCAGTACATTTAACTGGTGTCACCTAAATTGCACAGGCTTGAGGCAGAGGAAATATCATGGCATTGTGGATGATTTCACTTGCTGCTCCATTCAGTGCACTTCCCAAGCCCGGCAGAGAGATAGATGTGAAGCTGACATTCTTCTGGGGCCACACTCACAGAGAAGTACTTCTGCACTTATGAGCACATTGGAGAGTTTTTCTAAGATGACTTAATGACATGTAATATTTGCTTTGTTTGGTGATCTTGTCATCAAGTATTAGGTTAGATGTGATCCACCCTGAAATGGAATGGGGTGAAAGCTGCCCAGCCTTAACTCCAACCTTTACACCGGAAGTGCATGTGGAACATTCTTGGGAGGATCTGGGAGATCACCTTCATGTCCACCCACCCAGGCCAGCAGTTCGTCATCGCTGACCTCTGTGTGAAGGAAGTGGAATATTCCTCATCCTTCGCATAAACTTCCTGCTTGTACAGCAAGTGGAGTACCCCTGATCTGAGGAGTTTTGGATTTCAGATATTTTTTTTCACACTTTTGTACTTTTGCACAGACATAATGAGGTATTTTGGTGATGGGACCCAAGCTTAAATATAAAACTCTTTTCTGTTACGTATGTACCTTAGTCACATAGCTTGAGCATAATTTCCAGCAATATTATAATTAATTTTATGCATCAAAGCAAGTTGCATGGTATGGGATTTTTTTCACTTGGGTCATCACGTCAAAAGATTTGGATTTTGGAACAGTTTGAATTTTGGATTGTTGTATTTGTATTGTATTCCACAGACATTCTCTGGGTCCCTAACACAATCAGAACATCTATGACTGTGGTGACTTTTTATATATAAAATATTCTGTCAGAACTCAGCCCTGACCCAGTGTTTCTATTAAGATGACTATATAGTTCATGACAGTACTGTTTTTTTTGGGGGGGTGATTATTTTTATCTATTTATTTGCTGAATTTGTTGTACTTTTAATTTTATTAGAAATGTGATGGACAAAAATTGGTAATTTCTAATTTTAGCAGCTGAGCTAACCCCCTTTTTTATGTTCCGGGGAAAAAAAATAGGTCACCATTTAAATTTGTGATACCGGACAAACGCACACTGGTTTTCTTGTTGGCAGGGTGAACTGCTGAGTCACAGTTTCACAGCAGATAAAGCTGGCTATTGTCCTTCCCCTTTACACCACAGATCCATATTAAGGGCCAAACAAGCTTCTAGGAGGAAGAGAATGAGAGCGTTGCCTCCCTAAGTTGGCAAAGTTGGCAGAGGATATCTGTTGTCCCAACATTGCCCTCAATGAGACCAACAGATGAGACAGAGGCCCGCAAAAGAGTTGGATTTAGGCTCAGTATCATTAAAAGCAGGATGAACGGACCAATGGCACTCTCTGGGGAAAACACCTGTGGCTGAGTGTAAAGTAGTACAATTATGTCTTAGATTTGGGGCCTGGCTTGGTGTGGGGTAACCCTAAATGAGACTCGGCCTCAGAGAAGAGGAGCATCCTCCATAGCCTTCGTGCAGTAGTGAAGTCAGGTACACTACAGGGCCTGGGGACCTCTCCAAGGCCCCTGTCTGGGGACTTGGGAACAACACAGTGGCAACAGCTGTATAAAAAGGGTTTTGCTCTAGAGACTTTGCCAAATAATCCAGATCCCTCTCTTGCTGATTTGCCCTTCAATAGGAAAGCAATGGTTACACGCCCCAGGGGATTAGCATCCCATGAATTAGACACCAGGAAAAAGGAGACCTTATTTTGCACTGCAAGTTGGTGGAGTGGATCCTATCTTGGTCAGAACTTTTATGTGACATTTGGAGTTTGATGGTGGAGAAAACCTCCTGGTGAACCCAAAGGTTGTGATATTTTCTTTAAGAGTGAGGGGACAGAACTTAGGGGATGCAGAATGCAATTAAACCGCATATCCGCTATTCTGTTGCTCAACTGATATCTTACTAAAAATGTGTGTTTGTGGCCAAAGAAGTAGGAGGTGCGCTCTCAGCTGTCAGGCAGAGAAGCGAGTGCTGTGCCCTGGATCCGTCTTTGAAGGCCTGCGCACTAGGATCCCTGGTCCCTGAGGAGGGAGCCGTTTACATCCTCTTCCCACATGACAATCAAAATCACACCACAGACTTCACTTTTCTCACTTGTCCTACACAAGGGCTCATGGTTGGGCATAAGATAATGAGGACAGGCTCTGTCACCCACAGTGTGGCAAGATAAGATGTAGCATAGTCAGAAGAAATTATTTTAGGGTCCCCCTCCCCCAGAATTTTCACTGGTGACTCAATTCATCTTCAGCTCAGCTAAATCGGTGATGTCAGATCTGGGATCCTCAGATGCCCTAAGTTTTAGCAGAGAATCTACCACTGGCTTTATTTCCAAATCAGTACACTATTAAATGTCTTCGTGCCCGGGCTTCCTTGAAGGAAAGATTCAGCTGTAACTTACCTCACCAAATCATAAGGAACATCACATTAGCATGATGTCTTTAGTAAAGTTCAGTTGACATTTCTGCCCTTCTCCAAACTACCCAGCACCAACCTCCCTGTTGCTTTGTGGACAGTTACTCTCAGTTAATCGAGATTTACTGAAGTATAACTGCAGAAATGACTTTAAAATCTTACCTGTATTTCATACTGTTTATCATTATGGCCACAGGATCTGTCTTATATCTGGAGTGCTTATATTAAACCTTAATGGCTCTGCCAAATAATGGGTTTCTTCCACTGGTTTTATAAAATCCATCCTATGGCTCATATACTTCCCACTGTCTGCAATTTTGTCTCTAAAAGGCTAATAATTAATTTTTAAAATTTTTTGTGTTTATTATTACATGTTTGTGGTACATGAGTACATCCATCATAGAGTGTTGGGATATGTACATAACACATCTTCATCCTTTTCACATCTTCTTCCCCTAAGTGTATGTTTCACATGGGAGCTGAAAAATGCTTAGCGACAATGACGATAATAACCTAATTCCGAAAACAAAGAAGCATGGACTAATGACATTGAAAGACAGGAGAAAGAAGAGGAAGCAAAGAAGAAGGAAGAGGATAATCAAGAACAAGATGAAGAGAAGAATTTGGTGACAAAGATCTAAGCATCTTTTCTTTGACCTGAAAGTCAACTCAAAGGCCAACTGCAGGACATTTTTTTTTTTCTGTGTCTCAACTTGCTTATTTGGTAAATGGAGATACAGCTCAAGTTAATATATTTTGCAGAGATACATATGAACAATTGATAACAGTGTTATTCACTCTGAGTGCCCATCAGGCACATATGATTCCCATCGATAATGAGCTGCCTTCATTAGTTTCTGAATGATTCTGCCTACAGATTATATTTCTTAAAGGTTATATTTTGTTTGTTTCCGGTGAAGCTAGAGATATTCATGTGTCACAGTGATGATGTCATATTTTTAAAAAGAGTAAACCCTTTATTATAGTATATACATGCTACATTACTCCACCAATGCTAATAAATTTGGGGAGAATTGGTTGCTAAAGATTTAAGACTTAAGGAGCAAAATTCCATACAGTCACCAAAAGGTCCCAAAGCCATGCAGATACCTAAGAATAATATAATCATTTTTTGTGGCATTTATATGAACATAAAATAAAGAAATGGCTCAAATATTCATTGAATTACATTCCCAGGGAGCTTATACAAAATAAAGTGACAATATATCATACACTGACTAGTACAAATTGCTTTCCAAACTGGATATTCATAGAGGGCCACAATTCCTGAACTACAACCCAGGTGAGCCAGAGTTGGAGATTTGTTATGTTTTTAGGAAAGTGATGTGAACACTCACAGCATTTATTGTGTAATACTCCCATCGGGGCTGGGGGAAACATTCAAAACGCATTGTTTTCTTCAAAAAAACCTGCAAATACTCACATAAAGTAAGCTAAGCAATGGTAAATCAACTTATATAAGAAAAGGTTTGCCCATTTGTTTTTCCACTGCCCAAGAACTGTGGATACGTGATTTTAGGCCTGTATTCTTTAAAGTATTCAGGAGTCTCTGCAGTCATCTGTGCGAAAGCCCTTGAAAGTTTAATGAACACTAGTAGGAGGATATAATATCAAACACAAGTAATGGTCGTGGGCTTGCACTTTCAGAAAATCACCAAATATGTATGCCAGGAAAACTTCCTGCCTTGGTTCCCAAGATCAAAATAAACAAATTCCTACTACTTCCCAGCTAGTGTTCCTAGTAGAGAGAGAAGAAGGCTGAGGATGGGACCTGGAAGCAGGGATGAAGATGCTACCAATGAGAAAGAAAGGAGCAGCCATAGCAAGATGGCTTTCCAGGTTCACAGTCTGGGCCCAAGGACAAAACTTTGTGCTTAGAAGGACCTGCACTTGGTTTAGTGTTCTGCTGTCTTCAATTTGAAGTTCATAGCCATTTTTGAGCAAGAGCCCTTCCATTTTCACTGTGCACTGGATGCTGCGAAGTACATAGCTGGTTCTGACCATAGGTAAGCTCATCCTAGTGTGGAGTAAGAACAAAATTTATTTTCTTATTTGGTAGAAGTGGACCACAAAAGGCCTGTGCATTGGTTCCTTTCCAGTCTCCTGAAAGCCCAGGAACACAACAAAGGATCCATGATGCCTTCCCCCTCCTTGTTTAGTTACCCCCTGTAGACTTCTATATATAATGGCTGTGTTGGGCAGGATTCATGGGCTCTATGACAAGGGAGAGAATGACAGAGCTCTTGACAGGGGCATCAATAGAGGCCTTTGCAGGCAAAATCTCCCCAGTGAGCCTAAGCAGACAGCAATGAGTCTGCATTTGCCTTGTAGTCTACTGTGCACACAGCAGGTCTGCAGCAAGATTTAGATTCAGTTGTATCGATTCTTTTCTCTTTAACTATACACATATGCACACATGCACCCACATATGCGCTCAACTTTATTTTGTGCCAGGCACAAACCAAAAAGAGGGTCTTTTCCCATTGTAATAAAGCAAGTTTTGCTCACCTCCTTCTTTCCAGTCACTGTCCTGTGTGT